GACTTCCCCAGGGCCACACAAGTCTTTTGCAAAATCTCCCTCACTGAGCCTGGGGATTTGCCAGAAGTGAGAACCACGGCCATTTTCACAGACTCAGTTTTGATCATGGGTGTGCACGAAACCCAAGAATGGAGGGTTATCGCTGCTGCTTCCCTCATGTGTGTCTTATCAATCCAGAGACCGTGAATTTACCAACTGCCTCAAAGTCAAGCTGAAGCCAACCACACTCTTTGGTCCTTTTCCAATGACAGGATTGTCCCTTTAAGAAACCAGTGCAAATAGGTCTTAAAAAATGAATCTGCAAAAATTCCTGGTGAATTCTCAGGCTCAGCAGGGAACTTCTGCAAAAAGAGTTGTGTGGCCCTGGGCAAGTCACACCAATTTTCAGCTGTCTGCTTCCTCATTTGTGCAATTAAGGCAATAACATCCCCACGCTGGGTCCCAGGGAGGATTAAATAAAAGTGCCGATGTAGAAGTGCTTGGTGGATGAACTGACCGATAATCACTTCCTGGTGTATTATTTAATAAGTGGTAACTTAACAGTAATGTATCTTTCAAAAAATGCCCCTGTGTTTGATGGTGCAAAACCCTGTTTTCAATTCCCTCTCCCTAAACTCTGAGTAGTTGTTGCAAATCTACGGAAACCACTTAGCCTCTGGAAGTGCAGATGATTTCCTTGAAGTTCCATAGTAGGTGGTAGGGCTGGGGTTGATACCAGGAGGGCTAGACCGAGGGGCCTATTTTTAAACACTGTGCTCTCTCACCCGCCAGACAAAGAGGAGGACTAGACATGCCTTGTGGCAAAGGCCAGATGTGAAGACTTCCTTTTGTCTCTCTCAAGCCCTCCTCAGCCTCTTTTTGCAGGAGTTGGAGATGTTTGTGTAAGCTCCCTACTCTCTCACAGACGATGGCTTGGAAAGCATCATTGATTTCTTTTACTGAATAGTGGCAATTTTGCCTGTACCTCATAATCCTCAAAAACAAGCCTCGTGAGGTCCCCAAAGCAACTGGCAATGTGCTACATTTAAAGCTTTTTTGTACCTGGCTTCCATACTGGCCAGAAGAGGGTCCAGCCCTCCCAACCAAGGGGCTGTCCAGAGGCTGCTGGGCCAGCCTTCAACTGGCTTTATGTCACAATTTAGTTTCTGCTCTATTTGCTCTCTTGTTTTGTGATATCTGAGATGGGATTTCTCGTCCATTCTGATCTCTAAATTAGAAAGATGGCCTCAAAGCCGATGGGATAAATGGAGTGAGCTCTGTGAGCAAAGTCTGTGCAGGGGAGGACTTTTACACTTGAAGACCGTCAATTCATGCGGCTGGACTCACACCAAAGTCCCCTTCACAAAACCATTTGAAACTCACTAAGAGAATATTAGGGAGTGGGAGGGGAGAAAGCAGGCTGGTGATGGAAAAGTGTCTGTATTCTGTCAATCATGCTTTAAATAAACACTGATTGGCCATTAGCCAGGCAGGAAAACCAGACAGGAAGTAGAGGTGGGGAATTGAGAACAGGAGTATTCTGGGAAGAAGGAAGCCCATTCCTCCCCAGTCCTGTGCAGACCATGGAAGAAGCAAGATGTGACCTGCCCTGCTGAGAAAGGTACTGAGCCATGTGGCTAACATAGATAAGAATAGTGGGTTAATATAAGCTACAAGAGCTAATAAGAAACCTGAGCTAATGGGCCAATCAGTTTTATAACTTATGGAGATCTCTGTGTAATTTTCTCTGGGACTAAACTGCTGGGGGACCAGGTGGGAGAGAAACCCCAATGAGCCTGGCCCTCATGTTACAGCAGGCCGTCTCCTTGATGCTATATCCTATTTGGAGAGAAACAGATTCTCCATTGTCAGCTACGGACCAAATGCTTTCCCAAAAGCAGAAAAGCAAATGTATTCTGTGCTGCTGTGGCGAGGGATGGGTCTAAAGGACTGAAGACGGGACAGATGGGGCAGCAACAGGGAGTTGTGGATGGGCTTTGGGCTCTGGTTGGGGCTCAAGATGGGCTGCCACTGCAGCAGTGAGGTCTCCAGCCTTCGCAAGACCCTCCTGGCAAATATTTGCTGTGGACGGAGCTAGCTGTGGAGAATTTAAGAGTAACCATCACAACCCCGCCCTTAAGGAATTCTCAGTTGCTGAGGGCGACAAGCCACAGGTGGATAGTTTCCGTGCACTGTCTTTGGAGATTCTGAGTGCTTTTCTCTGGCAGCTGAAAGTATCTGGACCAGCGGCCTGCAACATGGTTCAGTCACCTCCCAAACTCGGAGCTAATACTTCAAGAGAATGTGACGAGCCCTGAAGAAACATGATGGAGGCATCTACCTAGATAAGACATCTCAGAAGGATGCATGGAGGGTGTGGCAGGAAGGAAGGGGATACCATGTAGAGGAAACAGCGTGATCTAACACAGCTGCAGAAATCTTTCTGTCTCTGGGACACATTACTAGCTAGTTGTGGATGGCTTCTTAGAATTCCATGATTCTCGGACAAAAGCTTCCCTTGCCTTTGTTCTATGGTTTGTTCTCCGGATGGACTTGGGACTTTAGACCCCAGTTGGGGTGCAGAGGTCTTTGTGGGTGTAATAAGATGGTTTTGTCTCAGCTCCTAGAGGCTGCGATTGGGTATATTTTCCCTTGTGGGTGATGTGGGAGTGTCATATCAATCTGTTGATTTCATTGGTTGAACATTAAACCAACTGCTTGGCCTCATAGCTTAGAACATAGATGGGAGGAGAAAACAGAATAGAATTCTGGGCAGAAGAGGAAGTGAGGTCAGACTCTGCCCTGCTTCCAGAGGGACCGGACAGCCGCCATGCTCTGCTCTCCCAGGCAGCTGCAACCCACGATAAACTAGGCTAGAATCTTCCCCGTAAGCGCACCTTGGGGTGCTTACACACATCATTAGAAATGGGCTAGTCCAGGTGCGAGAATTAGCCTGTAAGGGCTAGAGTTCATGGGCCAAGCAGTTAAATGAATACAGTTTGTGTGTTGTTATTTCGGGCATGAGCTAGCCAAGCGGCCGGGGTGTTGGGGACGCAGCCCCGCCGCCGCTCTTATTTCAACATGTGGGTTTAGATCTACTTCACCAGAACCTCCCATTGTCAGTTCCCTGGTGTTGACCCTCAGAACGGTGATGTGCAACTTCCACTCACGATGTGACTTAATAATCTCTGTCTAAGGCAGCCGATTCACGTGGGAGCCCTGAACTAAACCTGTGTTACATGGCTATCTAGAACATGTTAGGGCTCTGCTAGGAACAGGCATTCCTTACCCGGAACTGGGAAACCTCAGCCAGAAACCGATCATATGCAGGAATACATTGTAACACTTGACCCTCACCCCAGCTCTGTAAACTTGTATTAAAGTCGCTGCTGTGCTGATGAGGTGGAGCCTGCAGCTTGGAAACCTTTAGAACCTGCTCAGCAACTCCCAGTCAAACCAAGATCCTTGCTGCCACTACTCCAAGTAGAGCACATCAGGCCTTAGCATTCAGGCCTCAAGTTCATCTGCGGGCACTCGATCTAAAGATGCTTTGCCTCCCTTCCCCTGAAGGCGGCACAGCCTTGTTCATCACCTCCCTCTCCTTCACTCCTGACTCCTTCACTGTTGCATCCATGTGTGGCATGATGTGGCATGTAGAAACACCAAGCAAATGGCTCATCAGTAAAGGAAGCCACCTGGCTGGTCCCTAAAGCCAGCTTTCTTCGTGTATCATCTCTTTGATGGATGCCAGTGTCCCACTAGGGACTCACGTGCCTGGTGGCTGCACACCGACATAAAGCCCCACAAATACAGGTGGCATCAGACGTTTCATAGATTTCCATTTCTAGTTGGCAAAAGGACACCATCTAATGATGTTCTACAGGACCAGGACTTGGGACTTGTCACCTCATGGCACCCATGGTTTTCATCCTGCACTGACTCCACGCACCCTGCAGCTTTTGAGTACAGTGGAGAGCGGGGAGACGGCCTCTCAGAGGTACCCTTGCATTATGGAACTCTGACTACCGCCAGGGACCACGCGTTATCAGTCTCTGGAAGCTTGCTTTGTTCTGGATCCCTGGCTCTGGCTTTCGATTGCTGCTATTATGTGTCAATCAATTCCCCCTTGACCCCGCTCAGTGTTTATTCTCCGTGATTGCTCTGTTCTTCTGTGCTGCCGTTTTGATTGTGATTCTTGCTTCTCTTCAATGCTTTATCACCTCACAATTATTTTCCCACTGAAAAGCCGTGACGACAGAGCGATCACCCAGACTTGAGTCTCACAGTTCTGAATGTTTGAGATTCCCTCCACTCTCCCCTGTAACCTCGCGTAAGCCTTGGAGGACCGTGCTTCCTTTTGTTTGGAAATAAAACACATATGTTCCTAATAAACATCGAATGTGATAAAATGGCGAAGACCGGGAAAGACGCGGCTCTCTAAATGTCTCCAGTAAGTCAAATAAAAGGGAAAAGGAGAGAGCGCAGGCCTCAGCCCACCCACACCATCGGTCCCACTTTCCGTCCCTGGCAGACCCTCCTCCCACCATTGCACAGTGACACACAAGCTCTAAGTGCTCCCCATTCACTTCCACCAGCAAATGCCAGGCATCTTCAAGGTCAAGTGACTTAGTCTCCTTGCAATACTTGGATGAGATGTGCGCATGCTTTTCTTTCTGCCTTTTCCGTGCACCACTGATGGGTTTTAATTCTGTGCCTCATTCTGTTCTCCCCACAATACATCATGAACTGAGAAGCAGGTAGATGACCAAGGTGATACATATATGTATTCCGTATCGTCTTCTGTGGCTCCGAGCAGCTGGAAATAGCCTTCTGGTTCGCCTGCTGTTTCCTTAGGGCGGGGTGAGATCTTTAATGCGGCAAATGTAAAATTTCCATTATCCTCAGACTGTTGGCTAATCTATTTGTTGAAACAAATGATTTATTGGAACGAATTCGTCTTTTCAAAACAAGTGGCCTAGCAGGACTGACTGTAACTGATTTAATCTTCTTGTTTATTTCAGACTGGACCAAACGGATTGAGTACCAGCCTGGCTCGGGGAGTGTGCCCTTGTTCCCCAGCATCCACCTGGAGACGTGCGATGGCGCCGTGTCTTCTCTCCAGGTCACCGCCGAACTGCAGACTAATTACATCGGCAAGGGCTGCGACCGGGAGACCTACTCCGAGAAATCCCTTCAGAAATTATGCGGTAGGCTTTCCTTTGGAGAATTTGTTCAATTAATAGCTTTCCAGTGATACATGCAAATGAAGTTTATCTAATTAGAATGAGGAGGGGAAGGAAAACCCAGCCTTCCCCACCTGCATCAACCCTCCTGGAGGGATATTTGCTTAGGGCAGAAGGGTCAGAAAATTCAGCTTTTGGCCTCAAGCACAACTGATTCAGAGTCAGGTTGCCAGCCGTGTGGCTTTAGGCAAATAGCACGACAGAGCTTCCGGAAATTCTGCACTGGTGAGATGGGGATTAAACAGCAAAATCCAGTTAAGAGTTTCTGACACAACCAAGTGACACTCAAGGTCCTTCCGCCATGCCAGGTTCTCGAGAGCTTCTTACTCTCAAGACCATTATACAAAGAGGAGCCAGACACCTGCAAAAACACTTGGCTCATCTCCACCAAGCAGCTACATAATTTCCAAGGCCCGATGCAAATGGAATGATTAAGGGCTTTAATATAGGAACAGCAAAACACTCAGCCAAGTGTCTGCGGCTAAGCGGCTGCTCAGGGTGCAGGCCTGTGAGGCTGTGCCTGGCCGTCCGCAGCAGAGCAGCTTCAGGTAGGGTGGGGGTGGGTGCAGAAAGATAATCACGCATGTGTGGAGTGATTAATTAAAACCCGGAGACAGAAATTGGAGTTCAACCTGAAGCAAAACAGCCAGCCACTGGCTTTTACCTCTACCTCCGTCAGAAATGGCAATCCTGCCTCCAGGAATCTCAGAATGAGACTGTGAGTGGGAGCTGTCTCCTCCCATTTTATATTCCTTTCTAGGGCTGGGATTAAAGGTGTGCACCACTATTGCTCAGTTTCTATGGCAAACTAGCGTGACTTCTGGGATTAAAGGTGTGTGTCACCACTACCTGGTCTGTAAGGCTGACAGGTGGGATTGTTTCACTCTCTGACCTTCAGACGAGCTTTATTTATTAAAACACCAATAAAATATCACTACACACATGGAGGAGAAAGGGAGACAGGGAAGCAATTGTTAATGGAGAGGGAGAGTAGGCTTCTAGAAAGGAGGAAGGCCAGGAAGTATTGATAGGAAATTGGGCTGCTAAGAGGATGCCATGGGGGGTGGCTCAGACCAAGCCTGCCTTTACTGCACGCCCATGGTGTGCATCCCGTGATTCTCAGCCTATGATGCTTCACGTGGCTTTCACATGCGTACTGTAAGGAGAATATATTCACTCGGCTCTAAAGACGGAAACTTGGGGACTCAAAGTATGTCAACTGTCGAAGTAGACATAGATAGAAAGTATGAGAGATATGGTTTGAGAGCAGATCTATCTGAACGGCAGGGTCATTAGTCAAGCATTTACTGTGGCCAGCCTGGTCCCTAGAGCTGAACAGCCGCTCTCCGGCGAGTCTGTGAAGGAGAAACGAAATACCCGTGAGGTGGAGCCAGCCTACCGGGTCCGTAAACTGGTTGCTGCTGTGTCGATGGAGCTCTTCATCTCGCTTGGATACACAGCATGTCTGCTTCGTCCTCTGCAGGGACATCCAAGGACCCACTTGCAGCTCTCCAGTCTCACTGTGGGGAGCTGAGGCAAAGTCTCCTCCCACCGTGGGCTGCATTTGGCAGTAACTACACCTTTCCCAAAGGAAAGTGAGGCCGCTCTGCATACAGTTGAGTGTGCTGCCTCCGTGAGGGCCTCCACCACCATCGTTAGGAAATCTTTTTCACTCTTTATCCTTGCCCAAAGAATCAAGTGAATATTTTAGAACCAAGATAAGCCTGGTTAGTCAGCATATCCTGTTCATTATACCACCAGGCTTTTGGGGAAGGTCTGTGGGCAGGCTTGCCCCTCTGAAACATGCGGCAGGTTGGGGGAAACAGTGCTTTAAATAACTGTTTCAAAAGTGGGTATGTAGGCATTTGCGATGTTCACACAAGGCTTCCATCCTTCCCTTTCCTCCACTTAGTTCACAGAAGCCATGCAACCTGACATCTTACTTGGAAGGAATATCCCTTTGCATTCTCTGTGCACCTGGGGTGTCAGTGAACTTGACCCCACATGGCCACCATAGGTTACAGTCATTTCCCAAACTGCTCTGGGTTAGAAGGAAATGATGAATCGGCTTGTTAAAGATCGAGGGCCCAAGGGCACACGCTTGTGACTTGATTTTGAATGTTCCTGGGGAGAGGTGGGAGATAGAGAGGGTGCGGAGAGTGTTTTGAGGGGAAAAGGAGCAGAGCTAAGGCTAACACAGCTCGGGAGACAGTTTCTCCACGTGTGCTTCCTCTGACCTGAGAGCTGGTCTTTGGATGAGACAAGGCTGTTTCTCTTGAGCCACCTCCCCAGTAGCACTGCCTACCACTCTTATGGGATTCCCTGCCCAGTAACCATGGTAGCCAGGTGAGTCATGCCTCAGGTCAGAAGACTTAATTCTGATTGGCCTAGAGTAGAGTACAGCAAAACTGGACAGAAGCAGAGGGTAGAACATCAGAAGTCAGGCCCTCTGGGATCTAAGGAAAAGGTAGGAGTTGGGTCATGCCCCACACAGAGGCTGGATGGAACTGTCTGACTCTTGTGGGTAGCGTGGTTGCTGCTGACAGACATCTGTGTTTTCAGTAGATTGGGAGAAAGGCTGCTTGTTGGGTTCCCAGGTAGAGAACTCCTGACACTTTAAACCCCAGCCTTCATGTACTTTTCATCCTACAAATCTTTATTGGCTTTGGAGAGAAACAGGGAGAGCAATTAGGACGTTATTACCATAGTCTAAGCAACAGAACCAGAGGAGTGGCAGCAGAGATGAATTTAGGATAACTAAGAAGCAAAATCAGCAAGATTCTGATGAGTGGTTAGCTGTTGGAAGGAAGAGAGAAGAGATCTAAGGCACTAGCCTCAGTATCTAAGTGGGTGACAGGGGTCACACCCTAAGCCAGAAACCCTGGAGCAAGGGGACATTTATGGGACAGTGTGGCATTCACCTGTGGAACCCCACATTCCAGTCTCCTCTCAGTTCTCCTGACGCTCTGCCTCCCGCTTTGTCCCTTTCCCTTGTTTCTTCTCATTCCCAAGTCTTTGCTCTTCTCTCGCAAGCCCGTCCCTTCAGTCACCAGTCACCAGTTCCCTCACCCAGTACTAAGTTGCTTCTGTAGGAGCTGGGGCTCTGCAGCGTCCTCTGTGTTAGTGTGGTTGGACGGTGACCCAGCCAGGCTGGCTGCCCAAGGGGTGCAGTGAGTGAATCCCTATTCAGGGAAAGAGGGTGGTAGCTGATGCTTGCTGACGTCCAAAGGCACCTGATGTGGCAGCACTTGAGATGGACCTGTAGAAACACTGCATGGCAGGCATTTGCTTCTTTTTTTTTTTTTTTTTTTTTTTTTTTTTTTTTTTTTTTTTTTTTTTTTTTTTTTTTTTTTTTTTGGTTTTTCGAGACAGGATTTCTCTGTGGTTTTGGAGCCTGTCCTGGAACTAGCTCTTGTAGACCAGGCTGGTCTCAAGATCCGCCTGCCTCTGCCTCTTAAGTGCTGGGATTCAAGGCGTGTGCCACCACCGCCCGGCCAGGCATTTACTTCTTGAGATTTAGCCATGGGCGATGCTTCCATTCTGCCTTGGAACAGTAGAGTGCTGCTCCAGGAACCTCTGTCTCCTCCAGATTGTGGGCCAGATACAGACTAAGCTGATTCCCATCTTCCGGGCTCCACATGAAGCCAGGGTTCTTAGCAGAGGTGGTCAACTTTCCCAACTTCAGGAATTCAAATGAAGGTCCTGTCTCGGGACCAGTCTTTCCAGATGTGAAATGTCACAGCACTGCATTGAGGATGACATGCAAGAAGCAGCCCTCAGGGAAAGCTCTCAGCCAAATCAAATTTGGCATTAACAATGGCCCAAGCAAAGGTTCCCCGCTGTGACCCTATGTCACTATATATTATATGAAATACAAAAGTACTTTTTGGTGCATATGCCCTTTGTAACTCAGAGGCCAGGCTGTTCCTCGGAGGATCAAGGGCTCCTGGCAGCTGGCCGCCACTTCCTGAACACAATGCCAAAGGCGGCTGTTTTGTTTGTAAGTCGAGAGTTCCCAGGACAGGTCCTGTTAAAGGAAAGGCCACAGAGTATGAGCATGCTATTAAAATCCAGAGCTCCCAAAGCCGGTGCAGGGTGGGATAGCCCAACCCTATGTTCTCCAGATTCATCAGACATGGAATACTTCAATAAATGTTTTTGTTTTGTCTAAATGCTGTGTGACCCTTAAAGTAATATAGAACCATCTAGAACATAAACACCTAATAATTCTGTTTCCTAGGAAGGCAGACATGTTGAAAGGAACTGCAGAACAGCATTGAGGAAGGAAGAGAGTCCATGGTTTTCTGTGATAGGCTGCAGCTCAGCAGAGCTTGTCCACAGAATCACCATCAGAGGCTCTGATGCCCTCAGCGTTCCACACATCTAGGAAGCCATCATGGCTGGTGTTTCCTGGGTGAGAGTAGCAGCCCCTTTGTCTTTCCAAAGCTTTATCTCATAGCGCTTTGCTTCATTAGGTTGAGGGTCAGATTAATTTTCTAATCTATAGGAAATCAGCACAGGGCTGTACACACTGATTTATCATGATGGCGTGGGCAGTGGTCTCTCTCTGAATATGATTATTCCTTAGAGGCCACTTAAGCAACTGCCATACCACTGTCTTCCATTGAGAGAAGGCTTTTCCCTACAGTGGCCTTTTCCAAGATGGCCAGAAACTAAATAGGTGTCCATGACTCCACCCCAAGAGTCTGGCTACCTACCTGTTAACCAAAGCCCAACTTGTTCCACCTGGAAATCCAAGTTTCTATTCTCAAGGCCTTCGGACCTCAGGCATGTAGATGGCAAAATGGAAAACACAGTTACCTACATCATTTGCATCTGTGAATTATCAGTACAGATGCTCAGCCAGGTTACGCTGCAGCAGCAAATGGCCTCACAATCTCATTGGCTTAAAATAACAGAGGTTTATATTCCTAACCCAGCGTTCTTCTTGGATGGGGCAAGATCCCAGCTAATAGCGTAGCCTCTATCTAGAACACTGTTTGTCCCAGGAAAGATGAACCAGATATGTGTGACTTGTGGACTATCATTTAATACTTCTTTTCTGCTATGATACATCACTTGGGTTCTCATTTCTCCGAACATGTGGTTGAGTTGATATTACGGGTCAGAGAAGTATGTCATGCACGCACACATTCTTCTATCGCCCAGGTGCAATGGTACACCAGGCACTTGAAGAGGGCCTTCCTAGCTAGGTTCTACCAAGAACCTCTACCCTGAACTGTTCTACGCACTTAACTGTTCCTCCAAGAAAGTAAAAGGTTTACTGAGTCAATAATGGTGAAGCCATTTCCATGTGGTTAAAGGTTGTGCCCTCATGGCATTGCCTGGCATAACTTAGATGTTGAGTACACATTTATTGAGATGATAGGGAGCGATGCCATGCATCTGCTTGTTGCTCAGCATCTGTCTTTCTGAGAATACTATAGAGTGAGCCTTGATCTTAGATGGGACAGTTCCTCGTTCAAGATCCTCCCACTTCACCCCTTCTATGCCCTGCAGTGGACTCTGACGGCCCCGTGCCCATCACTCTTGCCACAGTCCCACTTTGAAATGCTAGGACACTCACTGCCTGTCCACATTCAGGCCATGCACAGCAGAATACAGACCTAAGCAACCACACCTCCACATCCCAATTTACCTCAATCATTGGCCTGTATCCATAAATCTCCCCAATTCTGCCCTGTCTCCATTTGCTGCTCAGAGCAGTGATTCTACCCTGGTAGAGCCCAGGGAAGCAGAGCTCATCACTGGTTTGGAGCCCCTAGCGCTGAGACTACAGCTGTAACTCAACAGAAGAACACAAATCCTTTACATTTAGTGGCTCCAGGAATTGTCACCAAGGATTCCAAAGGAGCAATGTAAGCATACTGGGATGTGCAGTTGCTGCCACACCATGACTGCAAGTGGCATGCCTTGTTTCCCACAGCTTTCCTAGAGAATTCTTTGTGAGGAAGAGGTGAAAGAACTTTGGGTGGAAACAAATCTTCTTTAGTTTGTTTAAGCATACCAAGACCTACATTCAATCTGTTAAGTCCATGGACGTCTGCACCATCTGGCTAAATGCGTCATGTTCTCCAACAGGCAACATCTGTGGACAGAAAAGGGAGAAAGGAAGACACTGAAGCTCTGCTTAGGTGGCCTCAGTGTGCTCCCCTGGGAACAGACACCAGTACGGAGAAGGGGCACCTCTTGGGACTGGGGTGATCATCTCAGCTGGCTAGTCATTGGACACCAGGCTGTGTCAGGCTCACATCATCTGCATGTCACAGCTGCACCTGTCTCTAGCTAGTCATGTGGCAGGGTGACCCTGGTCTAGTCGCTTCCTCCATGGGCACCGGTTTCCACGTTTGCTGCCTCCACAAAAAGTGTGTATAGAAGTTTGTTCCAGTTGAGTGAGGAGATTCGGAAGGAACCTGGGCTCTGGGCTCCCTCAATCTGGGGCCTCTTACCTAACAGCATCCCTAGAAAATGCATGTGTGAATCATGACATCAAGTTTGCCCATACCTCCCACAGAGAATTGTCAATGGAGAGGCTGCATCCCCCGCCTTCTCAAGGATGGCCCTGCTAAAGGCCTTTTCAGGATGAATTTAATGCAGTCTAAGTAGAGTATCTGTACTCAAAGGAATCATCTTTTCCCATGTAGTATATCCAAGCCAATGAATATGTACCTGATGGTCCATTCCAAACCCAAAGGGAAGTCTGGCTAAAATGTACAATATAATGAAGTATATTGGTTTCCAATGTGGCACCTTCCTGAGGAGTCTCCAGGGTAGGAGACTTTCCATGACAGCTGGCCTTGAAACCCAAACCCTGGATAAGATGACTTTCTGCTCTGCAGAGGTCAAAAGGCCAATGACCCAACAGACCTCAGATAGTGCACACTTCCCAACACCCATCAGCATCTTCGGCGGGAGGCAGCTGCTCTCACCTTCATACCACCAACACAACGTTTACAATGTCTGCTGAGTGCCTTGCCCGGAGACAGCCACACACACAATCCTGGCAAAGCTTGCATTCCCCAACTAATCAAACTTACATAGCAGGAGGCTCCCATCTTACCTGAGCAACTGAGCCCTCTTTCTATAAAACAGAGGCTGCTGCTCCATAGAGTGAGTTGGGGCCCAAGGGTCCTCCCAGGAGAACAGTCAGCTCTTCCCTCTCCCTAACCTTCCACAAAGCTGTCCTGTGGTGGGTCCTGTATAATCTTGCTGGTTTAGAATAAACCATCCTGCTCTAGCCTGGCAAAAAACCCACAGTAATGGTGTTGATAAAATTGTAGCTCACACTAAGAGAGCACTCATCATGTGTTAAGCATTTAGCTGCAAGCTTGAATACATAATCCTATTCGGTCCCCACCTACACCACGGAAGGTAGCACAGTCAGGGAGATTAAGGGACATTTTTCCAGTCACAAAGCTGCCAAGTCAAGCTGCCAGGTGTCAAATCCAAGTGTTCAATTGAGTGCTGCAGCCCTCAGAGCCCCTGGTCTCAAACACCGTACCATTTGGCTTCAACCAATGGTTGTAGAAAAATGTAGGGTGTACAAAGTGAGTTACCACCTTCTCTCGAGATGAGAACCCGGAATTTTCCCCAATCATAACCCTGATCATACTATGTTGTCTCTTAGAGTCTCCATTATAATAAGTATCTGATTCACCTTCATGTGGACAGACCTTAGGCATGGGGTTAATGTTCAACAGATGACTGACAGGTTAATTGATTGATAGGTGCCTGAATGAATCCATTCACCCAAATTAAGCCCTGGCTGTCTGCAGGAAATCGAGCTAATATAAGCCGCGTGGTTGGTTCTCTGACACTTCAGGCTATTCTCACGCTTTTCCTTGTACAATAGTTGATTATACCTGCCTGGACATATGTATCACTTTCCTCTGCAAGTTACCAATGTGTACTTAAGCAGACCAGAAGCAAGTCAGAGGCTGGAATGATACTGGGCTCTTTTCTGAGCCACCTAAGTCAGGAACGAGCCCAGACCTCATTCAGTACACTAGCTGCATTCTGACAAGGAAGCAGAAGTCAGAAGGCAAGGACACTCCCACCTGCAGGAAGGACCCATGGTGCTTTTATCTCTTCCCTTTGCAGGAGCATCCTCAGGCATCATCGACCTTTTGCCATCCCCCAGCGCGGCTACCAACTGGACTGCGGGACTGCTGGTGGACAGCAGTGAGATGATCTTCAAGTTTGATGGCAGGCAGGGTGCCAAGATCCCCGATGGGATTGTGCCCAAGAACCTGACAGACCAGTTCACCATCACTATGTGGATGAAACATGGCCCCAGCCCTGGCGTGAGAGCCGAGAAGGAAACCATCCTCTGTAACTCGGATAAAACTGGTGAGTCTCTAACCTGCTGTGTCCCCGATGGCTAGACAGACAGAACTCTGGCGGGTGTGCTAAAACAGAAGCAGAATAGCGAGCTTGGGAATGCATTCTATGCTCTGGTTTTCCAACTGCTGATTTTCCACGATTCGGGTAAAGTAGGGTTAGGGAAGAGTGCAAAGAAAAGGTGTAAACAGCGAATGCGGCAGTTTGGATCAATAATCTTTAAACTGAGTTCCTCAGAATTTCCCTGTCTATGGAAGCACCTTAGGGCTCCTGGGGCGGGATGGTGGTGAGGAGGACTTCATCCCTCCTGCAACAAAGAAACTACACATTTACTATATCATACAAGTGTTTTCAAAAGCCCTTGTTTGAAAAAGAGGATCCTGTCAACTTAAAGCAGTAGTTTGAAAGTGAACAAAGCTAGCTAGCAGGTGCTGAACATCTCTTTCATGCTAGTCCAGCACAAGGTAGCTCTGGGCATTGACCACACCCCATCACTTACAGATGCCTAATCATGTAATAGTATCATCCCCCTCATGAGCTATTTATACCGATTAAGTAATTTAAATACACACCAAGCTCTCAGAACATTGCTAGTCACTTAGAATGTATGGTTGGTGTCAACTGCTCTTTTTCTGAACCTTTATGAGGGAAATTTGATGAATGCATTATTGTCTCCCATCTTAAGGATAAGGAAACATTCAATGAGACTCTATCCATCTTGTCCTAGGTGGCTAGTTACACAGCCAATAAACACGGGAACCAGAATGTCAGTTTAGCTTCTGCTAAGTTCACATCCTACGGATGTGTCACTCTGCCTCCGTGTGCACATGAGCACACCACACACACGCACACAAACATGCACACACATGTCTTGAGATCTTTTGCCAGGTTTTAAACTCTGCCTTTAATTATGATTCCTGTCTCTGATTTCAAATGTAACTTTTGTCGGGTAAATCAGCGTTTCTATCTGTAAGGCAGCACAGAGAGTGGTAGCTCAGCACATGCTGTCAGACAGCCCAGGTCCACAGGTCACCTAGATGGCTGTTGAAGTGTGACCTTTGAGGAGTTATTATGCCCCATAAGCCTCGGTTTCCCCATATGCCAAGTGGAGGAAATAAGTATGAATTAAAATATGAAATCATTTCAATAAGATGCAGAAGTAGTGGACTATTAGTTCAGGTGATACCCTGGCACCATCATTACTATTTCTAAGGTTATTCCATCTCATGTCACTATAAGACCTCTACATTTTCCATCCATCCATAGATCCTTGTGGTCTATGCTGATGTTTTTCTTTTCTATATAGATTCTAAGCCAGGATTGCCTGACTTTTGCCTACACATAAGATTAGTCCATGTAGGAGGAATCAGCACCAGCAATAGATTTTTCTCTGGGATCTTCAGGCAGGAAAGATGTCATAGTCCTGCACTAATCTTGGGGCTGGGCTTAGTGGTCTCGTCCTAGCAACACCTGGTGGTTGCTCTGGATATAATGGCTCTAGGTCCAAAGTTCCCCTGAGGCCTCAGGATGGTACAACTGATCAAGACTTAGCAGATACAGATATGAGTATTTTTTGAACATGTGTCAAATGCTCCCGGGAAATAGAGAAACCAAACAGTGTTTCTGCCTACACAAGGGCAAGTAAAACAGGAGAGTTAGCGTAATGAGCCAGCACAGCACCACTGTCTAAAACAGTGTATGCGTGTCTAGGAGCACTTACTGCACACCCAAGAGCCAGACTCTTACAACAGAGGCACCACAGGCTCTTGGTAGAATAAGCCAGCAAAGCTTTATGGCATGTGGGTGCCAGGACCCCATCCTAGGTCCACAATTCAGTGCCTCAGAGGAACTCTACTGGGCAGCCGTGGCTGCAGTCTGCAATAACACCTCCCCATTACAGAGGATCACCAGCAGGATGCTCAGCACCTCAGGCCTGCAAGGTCCCGTGCCTCGACTCTGCCCTTGCAGGAAGCCACACCTTGCAGTTAGTTAAAGGTTGGCATAAAGGGCTAAGGAGACGGTATAGTGGGAAAAGGCACTTGTCTCCAATCTGATGATTTGAGCTTCATGCCTGCAACGCACGCCTTGGAAGGAGAGAAACAATTCCTTCAGATTGTCTCCTGACCTCCACAAATACAAGTTTATGCTCTCGTACCCATACATGTATGGGTACCTTCACACACACACAGACACACACACACACACCACATGCATCATAAATATCCGTCTAAAAAAGGATTGTTACAGAGAAGGTGTAAATGTTTCAGTCTATCTTAGCTCCCTGGGAGGACAGTACTATAAATACAAAATATTATGATTTAATCAAGGCCTGATTAGGACTTTTATTTTATATTAGGAAATTTTTACAGTGGCAAGGTGATGCACATTGCAGTAGAAATGGAGAAAGCACAGGAAAGTATCAAAATATACAAGCCACCTAAAATCCAAACACTTGAAGAGACATTATCTGATAACAGACTATTTCATTAAAATGTTACTTTTATCTCTATGAATAAGAATGTTCTTCCCATTTCAATTTATTTTCATAATGCATATGGGACTATTGTTTCATATATAACTATACCCAGGCCATATCTCCATGTAATAAAGTATTGTTTTCTTGGAAGGGTGTGTGACAGAAAACTCACGTTGCTCCCCACAGCAGTCTTGAACTTCTGAGCCTCCTGTCTCTAAATCCCAGGTGCTAGGATTACAGGCATGCACCACAATGCCTGACAGATAAAATCATCTTTAAGAACTAAATTGTATGCCAGCTTAAAACTCTGCCATGTAGATTTATTATACTTTATCTAATGGCTTCTTTTGTCAGCTACTTATAGTATCTCTCTTCAAAGGCAAGTAGAGCAATGCAGTAGTGAGTGGTCTAGAGCCTAACATTCACACATTTCTGTTTCCCGGCTGGAAGTTGGATGACTAAGTCAAAGAATATAAATATTGAGAAAATTATGAAACTGGCCTTCGTGAACGTCAGATTGCTTTGGTGAACAAAACAAAATTTGCTAATGCTGGTCCATTATAAAGTCATCTATAAATAGTTGGATGGCAGAATTGATTAGTCAGCAAAGGTTAACTGTGCAGAAGAAAGAGAGAGAAAAGAAAATTCACTATAATCGTTACTGCCGATAAAGCCCTCAGTGGCCACCACTCTCCTCTCAGGGTTTCGCTCATTTGTTTGTTCAGTGGTGGGTAAGGAGGACAAAGCTCTGCTCGGTTCAGGTGTTCTGAGACAAGAATCCTAGCATTGTTCATTCTGGTTATACTTAGCCATTAAAGAGAAAGAACACCGTCGAGTATAAGAGAGTTTTATTGTCAAAGACAGCAGGCTGTATGTTTCACCTCTGATCATTACCTTCCACTTCCCAGAACTTGGTCACCCAGCCACGGAGAGGGTATGAGAATCAACCAACCGCACATCTGACTACAAAGGGTTAGGTGCACACACAGCAGTCCCTCTGCCACAAGGGATGCTTGAGCGTTTGCTGGCCTTTGTCTCCCATTCTCTGTGTGAGTGAGGCTCTTGCCTGTGACCACTCACAGTTCCTCCCCAGCTCCTGCCCTGCTCCATACCACCTCCATGCCCCCACCTCTGCCCTGCAGCTGGGGTCCCTTCTTGCTGGGGGTCTTCACCCCACTTACTTTGAGTTCAGCTGGGAACCGTGAATGCTCAGTGGCCATACACAGGGCTTGACATTTCCTACTGGGAATCCTAAGACACAGGGACCAACCTGACCTAGCAGTAGCAGAGCATCAGCCCAGGAGGGAGGACTACAGAAACCCTCCCACCTATGAGAAAACAAGGGTGTGCCCACAGCCCCCGAGTGACTAGAAAACTGCTCAGAAGGATTTCAAGTGTGAGAAGAGGTGGGAACCTCCCCCACTCCCTGCTGCCTGATGACTGATCAGGAGATGCTCCTTAGCTTGTGTGTTGATCCAGGAGTCTGCAGCAGTGAGGCAGAGGGAAGGAGAAAGCGCCTAGGCTGAAGGATGCTCTAGCAAAGGAGGTCTGTTCTTCCAGTATTCCTGGTCCACCTCTTCACCCCAGTTGATTCCAAATAAAGCTAACAAAGGTGGAATAAAATATTTCTAACTTTTTTTCCTAACAGTTAGTAGGAACACAGAAAATCTGTCATATAATCATGAAAAAATCATTTGGTAGACTACTCATAACCAAGCCCAAGGGGTTTTGCCAACCCAGAGGTTAAGAGTGGTTCCTTCCAAACTGGGCACATGTAGTAACTGCCCATCCTCCTGCCATTTTTGGGTTGGGGTCTAGAGAATGCAGATGCTTGGGTAGAAACAACATCTAACTTAGCTGTCTGCACTGCTGTAGTCCCAAGGCACAGCAATGGCCTTTATAATAACCAACAGCCACTAAACATCTGTTTCAGGCAGATGCTTTACACACATTTCCTCGTTGTAGCAATTAAGATGCTATCCGTTACAGAGATGGGAAGTCCAGATCACATGACATCAGATAACTTTAAAATCAAGCCAATGCAGAGACTGTAGATTTCTTGTACCTGAAAACTCCCAGATCTTTGTTGACTTCATAGCCTCTTGTAGGTAAACTGTGATCAAGGTACAAGTTTTTCTATGCATTTTCTCAGATCTGTGAACATGTACCAGTTCCAGATTAGCAAATAAAACTGCAACTGCCAGAGACCTCGTGTTTTATACTGCACTTCTCCCAAGGAAAGAAGGCATCCCTTAGGTTCACATTCTGCTGGTACCCATCCCAGAACTACCTAGGAAAGTACTAACTATTGACCTGGACCAAGTCCTGCCAGCCAGTTCTCAGCAGAGGCCGTGTGGCCAGAAGAATGGCCCTCTCTGTTGATCTTGGGCTGGCATCTTGAACAAGTTCATGTGTTGGGGGATTGACAGGAGCCTATTTAGCCAGAGCCAATTAATGCTCATCTCTAGAAATGAGGCCAGTGTTGACTTCATTGCAAGGTTTACACAGGAGATACAGGAAACTACTCCACTCTCCCTACCCTAATTCAGATAAGGAAACTGTGACACCAAGAAGCTAGATGACTCCTAATATAATCAAAGATACAGTTCCACAGAAGTCCTTTTTTTTTTTTTTGAAAGATTTATTTTACATGCACTGGTGTTTTGTCCACATTCATGTCTTTGTGAGGGTATTGCATCCCCTGGAATTGTAGTTACAGACAGTTGTGAGCTGCCATGTGGGTGCTGGGAATTGAACCCTAGGTCTCTAGAAGAGGAGACAATGCTCTTAACCACTGAGCCATCTCTCTAGCCCTCCACTGAAGTCTAAATGTAAGGCTATGTTCATCCCTATACATGGCCCATCTACTCATTTACCCACTTAGAGTGTGCCGTGCATCCTAGTAAATGTCTCTGTGTTCTACAGCCAAGTAAAATGTGATCTCTCCCTGCCGATTCATAGTGTCTTGTGGCTGTAAGTGTCATGGCAAAAACCATGACATAAGATTTCCTAAGCAAGTAAGGAAGTCTTTTCATCAGAGGAAGAAAAGTTCCACTGATTGATCACTGTGCCTGGGGAGGGGGGATTATTCATCGCTTTGAAGAGCCACAGAGTTATGTCTAATGCTGGAAAATCAATTTGTCTCCTCCTAGCAGCTAAAAGTAAGGCAGGCCCTCTTAGCATAGATTAGGAAGACAAAAGAGATGTGTTCTGTGGTCACTGTGTCAAGACTGAGAAAATAAAACCAATCCCAGAACTCCAGGAGAAATCACCCACGCTGGAGGAGCCCAGGGATGGACGGGATTGGCAGAGAGCCCCTGTGAGTACATACCACAAGTTTGCCAACATGATCACCTTCCACTGGCATCTGATGGAGAAGAGGTTTCAGGCCAGTGTCTAAAGGCAAGATGGTTTCTCCAAAGAAGCTTTTTTAATGGGCCCTCCCAGTGCTTATTTCATTTCAAAGTCTTCCCCAACATATGTTCTGGGAAATTAATCAGAACCAATTATAGATAAGAAAACGAGAGAGACCATTTCTTTGTCTTCTAAACTGCCTAGCCACATAACGCAAGGCTCTTTGGGTGGAAGCAGATCCTCTCATGCCCCAACCCCATTTCTGCCTTTCAGAGATGAACCGGCATCACTACGCCCTGTATGTGCACAACTGCCGCCTCGTCTTCCTCCTGCGGAAAGACTTCGACCAGGCAGATACCTTCCGCCCTGCAGAGTTTCACTGGAAGCTGGACCAGGTGAGGCTCTTAGGGCATGTCTTCTCCTCTCTCCTTTACAGAGACCATCCGTTTGCTCTCAAGGCCGTGGCAATGGGTAGACTCTCTCCAGGTCTTCTCAGTTTCTTGGCTTTGGAAAAGTCAGTTCAGGAAGGCACATAGCCTCTTAAGTCAGGGTGGAAACTGCCCCCTGTAGAAGGGAAAGGGGCCACAGGTGCCAACTGAGATGCCACAGGGTCAGAGATCTGTGCACCTGAATCCACTTGCTTTTTGTTGAACTCATGGGAAAATGTCTGTCCTGACTCCAGGCCCAGCTGAAGATCTCTGTTGACACATCTTTGGTCTTTGTGTCATTGAGTCTCACGTCTTGCCTTTGACGGTTTCCTTTCTCCTTTGGGTGACAGTATGGCTTGCTTTTGATGACAGGTGATTGAGAACAGGGACCTGAGGACTTTGAAGAAAGCCATGACATGGAGCATTGTTGGCAGTGTCTTCTTTTTTCAGAAGTGGGAAAGCTGACTCGTTGGCGCTTTCTGGCTTGATCACAGGGCCTGGCACATCACACTTCTCTACAACAAATCACTAGGTCTGGGCTGAGTCCAGAGCTTTGAAGTGTGTGTTCCCGAGGGCTGTACAGCTCTGAGACTGCCAACGTGTACTCATTTCAGGGGGAGGGTGCTTCCCAGTGAGGAAGCAAGACTGATAGGGCCTTCCCCGAGAGGTGAACGTGGGCATGGTTTTATTTTTTTAAAAACGGTCTTAAATAAGCAAAAGGGAGAGGTAGGGGTGAGATGTCAGTTAACAATGCTTATTTCATAGTCCCTAGCGTCTCAGGTCTCAACCCCTTGTTTTGTTTTTATTCTACTTTAACTTCATCCCACGCTGTGTGTGCTGTGCCCTACAGAAATATTTTCTCCATTCTTGACCCGCTGGTATATTGCGATCTCACCGTTTCTAGGACCGAGTGTTTCATAATCCCATGTTTTCTGTTTCCTTACTACTCTGCCTCTTCTCCGTCTTCTCCTAGCCCCTTCCCCTGGCTCCCAGGGGGACTGACCTCAGCAAGAACTCACTCCTGTAGAGATGTGAGCCATTGCTGTCCCTTCCATCCTCACAGACACTCCCATGGATGCTCTGTGGGACCCAGTTTCCTCAGCCCCGGGAATTTCCTCTAATGGAACCTCTGCAATGTGAGCAAAGCAAGGGCAGTGTGGGGAGCCAGTGGCAACTGTCTGACCTGATCGCAGAAAATGCTACCCGGCTGGATCCTGGGAGACCGAAAAGGCAGCATGTGTGTTCATCTGCAGTTCCTTCGTTGTGTTAGGGATTCTGGGGCTCGGAGGAATGGTAAAATCTTGACATTGTTTATATGATTTCTCAGCAACCTCCCAGCTATGTCCTGACGTGCCAGATGGCTTTTATGGGATGTTTTAAAATATATAATACAAATTGAAGTGAATTAAAATAAATTCCATATTGTGAGGGGTTCTTTAATAAGAACATTGCCATACTGGTGGAGATAATTATAGTTACCCTGAGGCATTTTCTGAGATGGGATTGAGAAACAAGGATACAGGCAAATGAAGTTGCAGGGTTGGAAATTAAAAATAGACAAAGAAGGAATCCTGGTTGTGTAGATAAATATATAGTGAATTTAACAGTTCTGAAAGCCAGGCAGTTAAGGAAGGGCTGAGTCACTGAGCACATTCCAAATTACCTGGGTCCCATGGATGTTTCTTCCTTCCTTCCTTCCTTCCTTCCTTCCTTCCTTCCTTCCTTCCTTCCTTCCTTCTTTCCTCGTTTCCTTCCTCCCTTCCTTTCTTTCTTCCTTCCTTCCTCCCTCCCTTCCTTTTTTCTGTCCTTCCTTCCTCCTTTCCTTCCTTTTTCCCTCCTTCCCATCCTCTCTCCCTCCCTCCTTCTCTCCCTGCCTCCTTCTCTCCCTTTCTCTCTCTCTCTCTCTCTCTCTCTCTCTCTC